AATACTTACTGTTACTTGTTTATATCTACATGTTAAAAACAAAAGTTTTTTTTTTTTTTGGGATTAAAAGTAGACAGATAACATTTAGTGACAAAATGCGATTTATAATCAAAACAGTATTGCTATTCAGTAATTAATTGATTTATTGTTATAGTATCTATATATCACAATTTACAATCATTGTTTCTTACAATAATGCCGATGGAAATTTGTTAAAATACTCTTTCTAATTGAATTTTATAAATGGGCAGAAGAAATAATTTAAAGTATCATAAACCTATCCAAAATATTTGACGGAAGAAAATTATGATAATTAATTGTGCGTGCTGAATATATTTGTCATGCAAAGTTAAATAAATGTTTCTAAAGGATGATATTGATTTTATTAATGTTATCATATTCTCTATTTCATATTCATTATGAGGTAAGAAAAACTATATTTTGAAATTATACTGTTTTTTTTGTCTTTTGTACTTTTTCAAAACAATTTTTACGATTGAGACGACCCTTTTCAATTAAATTAATTAACTATTCCAATGATTAACATTTAGTTATACAGGTATACGTATGTAAATGTGCATAAATTTTTAATATATAATAATTTAATTGCAACTATTATGTTCATATTTGATTATCAATCACTGCAAAATGTTATGAATCAGATAATTTCAGATAATCCCATCATTATCATTAAACAACAATATGGACGAACTAAACTGATTTCATATCATTTTAGATTTTAAACTTCATCTCAACTTGAATTTTTAAATGCATGAATAAGAAAAGATCGTCGGATATATTTCCATTTAACATAGTAATTTTATTCGGACCAACTAAACGATACAAATATTTTTTAATAATTATTCTGTTGTGTGCCATCAAATTATAATCGTTTCAGCATTATTATTCATCTTTAATTTCTTTATTTGCTAAAAAATGGTAATAAAATAAATAGTAAAAAGTATGGAATAATTAATTGAACTATTAAATTTATTTGTTCAATAAATTAGTCGACGAAAACTGTAAACAGTTTCGATCAATTACTATACATCTAAATGTTTAACAATCATACTAAATTTATAATATTTTGGCAAAAAATTTGCATTGCTTGATTTATGAAAAACGTATAGCGAGAAAGATTTTTTTAAGTTAAAAAAAAAAAAAGAGATGAGTAAATTTTTAAACTTATAACTTAATAAAACTTTATACTCATCTACTTGATCATTCTTCAAATTACAGTATATTATAAGGCATTATATCATTCCAAAAATTCATATCCATCTTGATGTTGTCGAAAGCTGATAAAGTTTCATCAAATGATATTCATATATCGATTTATTGAATGTGCTAGAACATCCTACCATACACTTACTCTCTTTTTTCTTTTCAAGTTCAAAAGAATTTGAAATGAATTTAGTGGGCTTTACAAAAAATTTATCAGATCATATTAACGTTGATGATGAAATTTCAACTAATTTAGTGGATGAAAAAAAAAAAAGAATTCATTAGTGTTAACTGAATAGAAAATTTGACTAAATAGCCAAAATAAATCAGTTGAGTAGTTAAAATAAGGTGTTTAATTTTAGTGTCAGTTGGTGAGCAGAAAAATAATGATCGATAAAAACAAGCTTTAAACTCTGTGTAACCAAGTTAGTTAAGCTAATACTAAACAGCAAAATAACTTTTCTTCTACACATCATCATTTTGTTTTTTTTTTTTTTTTTAAAAAATTCAGGTTGATATTGTGAAACTAAAATTTAGATTTACGGTTGCAATTTAGAAATATTTAGCCTTGTTAGATTTCAAAGCATATTAGTGAAATTAGAAGTTAAATGAGTGCTAAGAAACAATGCTTGCATCATTTCCATTTTTAACCAAAAAAATTTCATATAATTTTTCAGGTAAACTTCATCATTTCGTAGTTGCATCATCGATTCGTTTATTTTGTTCAGTATGGTTTATTTAACTGATTTTTCTTGAAGTGATAATCTAATTTAACTTACTATCATTTATTAAATTCACTGATTCAATCATAAATTAATACTGTATTTTTAGAAAAGACAATTGAATTGAATTTCGAAATTTAAAAATTTAAAACGATTTTCAGTATAGTTCTCTACAGTTGAAAACAGTTGTTTGATTGATGTTGTTAACATTTCAATGACAGTCTATTTAATGAATTTTTAAAAAAATTTGTGGAACGTCTGTCATCGTGAGCATCTTTTGATTAGGCTGATATTCGGTCAATTCGACGGACAGTTGCGCCTTGCATAAAATACACCTACGCACAACTCTATTTACTCTCCTGTAATTGCAACATATTACTAGCCTTTTTTTTCGCCAATTTACAAAATTGACAAATGATATTTTGTTATTTCACAAATTGATGGATTCAATGATTTCTTTATTTAATTTCCATTGCTTAAAATAAAAACATGTTTAAATTTTTAAACCAAATCTCTAAAAAATCTCCAAAAATTAATTCAGAAAACTAAAAAATTTACAATTTATTATTTAAAATAATTTCTTTTTCACAGAGGCAATTTTGATTATGCAAAAATGTTGGCGCTTCTTTGATGATCATGTAGAGATAAGACAAAAGTTGATAAATATCATAAAAATAAGCTATCGTAAAACAAATTATTCCATTTTATCATCCTTAATTAATTTACTCAGCAAAATTTTTTTCCGTCATTTATAGTTTGAGTTTTATAAAAATTAATATCTTCAGCATTGTTTAATTTTATGAACACAATACTTTTGATATAATATTTCAAAATTTTGCAGAAACCTATTTTAAATTTTGTGAAATCTAAACAAACATTAATTTGTAAACAAGACAGTGAACCAAATCATTTTATCAGCAAATCACTTTTTACAAAATAATTGTAATTAAATCGTAGTTTGTTGGAGAAAAAAAGTGCTGGCTGTCAAATTGAACAATTGTTCGATCCAAACGACTAATCTTTTTTCTCTTAGAATAGTGAATGCTTTCTCATGCTTTTTGTTTTGCTTTGTTTTTTGTTTTTTTTTTTTTTTTAAATTTATTTTCAAGAACACAATTTATAACTTATCGCAGTTTTGAAATTTTACTTCATCTATTTAAATTTTTAATAAATCATTGATTTAACATGTTGAATTTGAACAGGTAATGATTGATATGTGTAGATTTGCATATAAATTTATCCTTAATGAAAAATTTTTGGAATTTTAGAATTGAATTTTAATAAATAATTCATATTTGTTTCTCTTTCTTCCTGTTGAAGATAAAGAAAAAAATAAGATTTTTGGTTATTATTTTCTAATTGGTATTTAAAGTTGCTTTACAGAATTTTGCTTTCTCTGTATAGTTTAAGCCTTCATACTAAGGAAAATTCCCATATATGATGGCATTTAATAGTTTTGCTGAAGCAATTATTTTTTACCTTTCTTCCTTATTTCATAATCTTTTATTATTTTTTCATAAGCATGCAATATACTCTTTCATGCATTTCGAGATCTTATAAAGCTATGGACGCTTTAAGAATGATAAAATAATTTTGTAATTTGTGACCTAAAACTTGAATTAATTTATATGAGTGTAAATAGAAAAAAATCATCGTATATGTTAATTATATAAAATTTTTACAAATGAAAAATAACACATAAATTTTGAAATATTTTTTAAACATTTGGATAATTTTTCAATTGGCTATTTCAATTTATTCAAACATCATTGAGTGAATAACAAATGTGGAAAATAATTTACGGCTAAAAAAATTAGTTAAAACAAAAAGAAATTAAAATATGCTGTGAATCGATTTCAAATAAAGAATTTTTCCAACTGGATTAAATTTGTGCACTTTAAAGCAGTATTTCAGATTTTGATTGATCGAGCGTTGCTGCAATAATTGATGGTCGAATCGCACTCATTTCTATCTTTTATTTCATATATTACTTCGTGTTCCTTATCATGTTAAATTTATTTCACATATTTTCGTCTAAATGTATCAATTTAAATGATACTCATTGATTAATTATCATTTCTATCACACTATTTCCCTCGCTCTCTTCCATAGTAAGTTTGTACATAAACATAAACATAAACAATCATGAACAAAATTATGTTTTTCGTTCTTTTCACAATTATATTTCACAATTTCATTTCACAGTCTTACAGTTAGATTATTACTGTTTTTCCTCCACTACTCCGAGATGAGGCAATTATGCATAGTAATTTATTTTTATATCAAGATTGTTAGATCAATATAAAAAGCTTTTATTGTTGCAATTTTCATGGTACTTATTTCTTTCAATTCATCTACTGATCAAGCTATCGGTTATCTGGAAATTTTAATTTTGTTAAAATTACTCAAAGAAAAAAAGAAAAATGACTGAAATCTTATTTGTAACCAAAAATCATTTTTTGGATAATTGTTATTTGACAAATTTTAGGATACCACGAATCGCTATATTTCGAGCGCATATGAATTTAACAAAAGGAAATGATCTTCAACAGTTGCTTCATTTGATATTTCATTTCATTTCAACAAATCGAGCCTTATCACGAGCACCCAAATTATCAACCATACACACCGATAGCCTTATCAACAGGTGAATTAAATAAAATGGTTTAATAGTTGCTATCATTAGTTTACTTCAGGTGTTTCATTCTTCTGCAAGCATCTTTCCCAATTATCATAACGGTGAGGTGGGCTCAATGATCAGATTGTTCTGTTGATCAAAAAATGCCTTTTTACATTTTCAAATAGTTTTACAATTCTAATTTGTAATTCCATATTATGCAATTTTTGCAAGCTTTTTTGAACTTTAAATTATTTCACAAAAATTTTTCTTATATTTTTATTTTTCTAAAAAATCATTCAAAAACACATTTCCTTTGCTTTCCGGGTATAAATGAAATTGCAAAACATGAATTTCAAAAATTTTCAAGCAAATTTAGTCGAAAATTTTTTTAACAAATATTAATTTTTATCATTTAAAAAGATATTTCAGGAATTATGTGGTGTTGTCAATACATATTTTGCATAATAGTCCATTTCGTTGCTACTACTGAAAAAATACCATGTGGCCAAAATTTAATTGTATTTATCATAGATGGATATGGAAGAGCATTATTGAATCAATCAAATATCGGCTTTCGATTGCTAACTCAAAATGGTGTATACAGCGAATTTTTAAAACCTGTTTATCCAACTCATGATTATCCAAATTGGATGAGTCTTGTAACAGGTCGATTCACTTATTATTTTAAGCCTTCTTAGCTTAAAAATCATTCACCCATTTTGAAATTTATTTGAAAATAAGCAAAAATTAGACCATGAAAGTTTCCAAACAAAACATTGGATGAAAATTTTTCTATGCATATATGCATTTAGCAAATTTCAACCTAATTTTAGCAATTGATTAATGTGTAAGTTAAGAGTTTAAAATATGCATTAAAAAAAAAATTAGGATTATAGGTTTGTATGCAGAAAATCATGGTTTTGGTGCTAATTATATGTGGGATAGGGCTAAGAATAGACGATTTTGGAAAGGTGAAACAAATCGTGTTGGTGATAGCTGGTGGCCTGATGGTGTGGTACCAGCATGGTATACTACGGGTAAATCAAACGTTGATGTGCACTGCTACTGGATGCCAGGATGTGATGTAAGTTTAGATTCATTGCTTAAAATAAATAAAAATGAAGGACCTGGGTCATTATCAATGCTCTATATTAGAAAAATAAATTCAAGTGAAAAAATAATCTCTTAATAAATCAATTCAAGTAAAAAAAAAAATAAGATTGCTCGATTTATATCTAAATTTGTCATGTTTGTCTTTCCTAGATAACAGATAAGGAAAGGTTAAATTTCATAGGAGAAATGGTCAATAATTTGAAATACAAATTATTAGGTATTTTGTCAGTATCAATAAAGTAAATTACTAACTCTTTTATCCTCTTCCTTTTATTACAACTTTTTTTCGTTCTTTTTTTCATGCTATGTTTGTCTTAATTAGATTTTTTTAATTTAGACATTTTAAATAAGTATTTGCAGCTTCCATATCAGGATATGATTGTGCAGGTACCACAAGAGCGTAAGTATAATGCTTCATTACCAGAACAAACTAATGCACTGATGAGTTATTTTCCGGAAATAATCGAACGAATTACCAAATATCAATCATATAAGCAACAAGTATTTTAATTTAATGATAAAACAATTTTAAAGAATTTCTTAGTTAAAGATGAAATAATATTTCATTTGAAAAAAGAATGCTATTGAATCAAATTGTAGTCATATTGATATAATTATTAATGAATGTATTGAATGTCATTATAAAATTTGATTGTATTGAAATTATTTCAAATATTTTAGTTTTTTTTACTTCGATATGGTGGTGTACAGGCAGCATTGGAAACATTTGGGCTGCATAGTGATGAGTTAAAGCAAGCTCTTATTAACGTTGATTTGAGTCTTCTTTTGTTACAGGTCATTCATTCATTTCTTTTTTTCTTTTTTTTTTTTTATTTTTACTAATTTTAAAACTATTTTTGGAAAATATATTTCAGACAAGGAAAAAAAAATGCTATTTTTGTATTTTTGAAAATTGTAGACAAAAATATTCTTCTAATAGATATCATAACAATATTTGTTCATATCTGTTCATACAGCAAAAACTTGAAGCAGCGAAGCTTTTTGAATCCACAAATTTGATGGTAATTTCAACACATGGCCTGTATACGGTGGAACAAGAAGAGCAATTTTTCATTGAAGAATGTCTAACAGATTATTCAAAAATTCAAAAAGTCGTTAATCATCATGCAATGATGATGATTTTTACAAATCCGGATGAGGCTAATGAAGTATGCATGTTATTTTTATTATACTCAATAGATAGGAAAAAAAAAACAAGGCAAAATTTGCCATTTCAATAATGAAAAATTGTATATGATAATGCAAATCATAAAAATTTTCTGATTAAATCCAACAAATAAACAAAATGCACACTACTAGACAGGTTATCATTTCTTTTATTGGAAAAAAAAGTATTTTTGAAATTTATCAGATAACTGATTCTCATGAATCTTATTCTCAAGTTTAGTTATTATCGAAATTACAATAGTACTGTAACGAATCATTTTTAGATATAATTATTTTTTTTAGGTATTTTTTGAGTTGAAATTGTGCGATCAATGGGCACCGATGGGTGATTATGATGAAAATGAACAACCACTTGTATCAGTTTATCAAACTACCGAATTACCGGATCGTTTCCATTGGAAAAATTTTCAATATATGCCAGAAATTGTATTAATCACTCGACTAGGTGCAACTGTCTTAACGGTATATCATTATTACATTGTGACCGTTTACATATTTCAAATAATTGCATAAATTTTTTTAAAGATACCTTTTTCATATTTACTTACTTAATGCTACTTCTTTTTTGAAATTTGCCGAAAAAAAAAGAAAGAAAAAGAGATATAAGAATTTTTCCTACAAATATATTTTTCATTAATGCAATTTTTGTATATTCTTCATTATCAATTAATTAAAGATGCAAATAAGATTATAATTTGAAAGATTATATTGAAGTACCATTTTGCAGCGTGAATTACCCTCTCTACCACCGCATGACGAACAAGAAAAAGACATTCTATTAACTGGTGGTTGGGATAATGAAAATTTCGATATGCATGGCATTTTTTTTGCTCGAGGACCTGGTAGGTAAATTTTCAAGATCAGAAAAGGATTGAATTTATCTTATCTAATAAAATAAATGATGTGATAATATCCAGGTGATTGTTCGTTACTGTAAATAAATTCATCTTACTTTTCAATCATACAAAATTTTTATAACAATTTTTATAACACTTTATATCCAAATTATTATTTTCTTTCAGCCTTTAAAGAAGATTATGAAGCCTCAGATATCAGTGTAGTTGACATCTATCAGGTAAAATCAATGCCTATATTTAGTATTTAAAGCTTTTGATTTTTCATAAATTTGTGGCTTTTGAAGATTTTATCTTTCCCACTTCATTCGCTCATTGCTAACTTTAAAATGGATTGCTAAACGATTGTATATTTGATCATCAATTAAATAAAGCAAATTAATTAAGAGATAAGCAGTATTTGCTTCGTCGTAATACCAGTTTCTTATATTGAGCTTAAATGCAGGCAAGATTTTTTCGAGACTTACTGTAATTTGGCAGGTAATGATGAATATATTTGGGATCGAGCCGCCACATCGACATAATGGTACATGGTCTAATGTCGAAGATTTCCTAAGCAGCGGTTGGGAAACTCGATCAGTTCCCGAGAATATGAGGGCATTTACCGTAACCAATTGTCAAATATCCTTAATGTACTTCACCATACTGATCTCATTCTTTATCATATATGATCAATTTTTACGCTTCCTGATATTATGACAGCTGAACTTGGAGTATATTCAGTTCAATGCATTCCCGATAATCGTATACTACTGCTTATATTTACTTTTCCTTCATTCCTATGGAAAAAAAAGGAAGAAAAGAGAATAAAAACTTAAGTCTTTAAAAGTATGCTAGAAATATTTTCAGAAATCATATATTAAATCGAATTTTTCTATCCAAAATATATTAGAATTACAAAAATGTTAGTATCATTAGCTATTTCATTGTGCATAAAGGAAAACTACGACAATATTAGTGTTCATTCATTATAGTTTGAAACATAAATCCGCGTAATTTATCCATCATATTTCATCGAATCGTTAGGTCAAGTTAACTTGACACTTTTTCTCCGACTTCTTTAAAATTCATTCTGAAACTATCATTTCAATTTATCGCTGGATGTGTACAGTAAAACATGACTTGATAGATGCTAAGCATCTCTAAACTTTTTTTTTTTTCAATGTCTAAGAAGATTCCAGTTATTAATTCTTACCTCGTCCGTTTTATTTCTTTCTTCCATTTAATTACATTAACAAACAATTTGTTCTTTTTCTTTTCTTCAAATTGAAACCAAGAGCATCCTAATGAATTCCAATCTATTCGATTTCAGTTTACCTCACTCTATCAAAACACACAATTTATGATTCCTGCAATACTTCCAACAGTGAAATTTCACAGACAAATACCGTCAAGTCCGGACGTTAGAACGCATTTTACATGGAAAGATAACCTTATTCACATATCATCTTATAAATTATTTACATACTTTTGCTAAATTTAGTGATTCAGAAATGCAGGAAGTTCAACAAACTCCGAGGAGTATTGCTCAAAAGTCGGCAAGATTTGCAAATTTGCAAGACCGTTTCATAAGTGAATATATTACCACCACAGTGGTAGATAAATTGAATGTTCCACCATAAAGGTTGGATATATATCTTACAATTTGCAAACGGATGTAATCATCATGTAAAATTTTCAGCTCTCCACCTGGTGTGTATTAAACGCTCTAAAACTTGAAAATTATTGCAGTGTGCTGCAAAGTGACAGTGCTGTGATTATCAAGTTTTGAATAATGTCTGGACGATTTTCGTAGCTATAAAAAGTTTGATTTCTTCTATCTGTTTGATGAGTTGAAAGGAAATGACAAATTTAAGCAATAATTTAGTTGCAAAGAAGGAATAAAAAAGGCTTTCAAGGCTTTCCGTTAAATTTCATTGTCATCTATGAACAGATACTTCAAACAAAACAGGATGCAAACATAATATGACCATGCTATACTACCACATTCCTAATAATTGTAAAACATAAAACTTATAATGAATAAAAGAATTACCACTTGTGAGGGCTACAGAGAAACACAAGTTATGGCAGTTTCTGTACAAAATATGAAGCATGAAAAAATCAATTTTACAAGAAAAAACATAAGAAAATATTGCAAATGAAAGAAATGATGACAACATACAAAATCCCACAACCTAGAAATAAAAATTAACATTATGACAAAATAAAAAAGTGAGAAGAAATTCCAATTAAAGTAAACTAAACTATCTCGCACAACCAATAAAAGAAACAGATCAGTAGATCTAAAACGATGCATAAACAATCGGCTATAGCTACTAATCAGAGACCATAAGGTATGCGCAAAACGAAAGGGAGTAAATACTAAGGTAATTTTCTCAAAAGTATGTTAAGAAATAATTGCAAAGTATGACAATCGATTTCAGCATATTTTTTGAAATTAGAAAAGAATTGAAATAGAATTCAAATGTGGCAGAAAAATCATGAAAACATGGACAACAACAACAATGGTAACGTAGGGATAATAGAAATAACATAAAAATGTGTTACAATACGTACGCCCAGTAAAAATCTCAATAAAGACAAATAAAGGAGGAAATTTTTTGTTTTTTTTTTTTAGTTCATGACTGAAAAATTTTGAAGGATAGAATCGGCTTATCCAGAAGTGGGTGTCAGTAGACTGTGAAACGCGATTTTATAATAAGGATGAACTTTGATTCTGCGCCTCTTGTGAATTAAATTTGTTTCTGAAATATCATTGTACTGGATTTTATTTGTAGGTTTTTCCGCTCTGCTATAACTCATGTCATTATCTAAACCAGTTCCGGAAACGCCATCATAACCATCACCGTCATCGTCATAGCATCCATTTTCATCAAAAACAGTTGAAAGCACATCATGACTTTCCGAAACATATGATTTGGAATAATTGTCGACCTCTTCCAAGCCATCGGATCTGAAAGGCGAGCGATTCTTAATAATAACTTCTCCACCATTTTTACTGAAACAAAAATTGCAGCCGTTATAATAATTATAAATTGATCCATATTGTCACCAGTGTACTGCTCATTTCTAACGTCATGGTTGTCAATTTCACAAATGCAGTTAAGGGGATCTTGTGATAAAGACATCAAATGAGATCTATCAATAAAGCTCATAGTGGTCGCAACAGTGGCAAGAATGTGCAAACCGCTCTGTGATGTACACGGTTTTTTACCGCTCAATTGGCTAGACATTCGATTATTCAACCTGTTAAGGCGATCAAGTTGTGCAAACCCATTATTTTTTGCTGATTTTCCTTGTTTTACAGCTTGGCATACACAGGGTTTTCTTGTCCGGACCAAATTACTCGACATGTTCAAATCGCTCCCTTGCGAATGTTTTCTAATTCTAGAAATATCTGCCTTTTTACTATTCTTACAATCACATACAGTGAAGTGTTCATCCAAGCCTGCATACTGGGCGTACTCGAGCATGACGATGAAGATGAAGACGTTTTTATAGCACGTCTAAGTCTCTGCTGATTTCTAGTAACACAGTGCCTATTATTTATTTTCCCAGTCTTTTTTCTCGAACGATTGATAGAACCTTCTGCTTGAATTTCTGAAAAAATTTTAACATTTTTCAAATATATCTGCTTCAGATTCTCTGATATCTGCACTAAATATATGTTCTAAAACAATGAACTATATACCTTCAGCCGAGAAGCGATCCTGCAAAGCAGCGACAGTATGTCGGCGAAGCGTCATTCTCGTGTTCAGTTGATTTGATTGTGGCATATAACGACAAAGCCTCGAGTCGGTTACACGAAATTTATAATTGTTACCGGATTCTTTTAATTCATCACTTTTTTCCAACGAAGTACCTGATACCATCAAACTTGTGAAAAAACCTTTGCAAGCTCTGCAAACGAACTTTATTACCAACAAGTCTAAAACCCTAAAAAAATCACAAATCTTGATTGAGCAATTTTTTCCGGTTACAAATAAGTTTATAGGGTAAGAAACAGTGATAAAAAATTATGCTAGAATTGCAGACCGTATATTAGACATTCACAGGTCACCATGTATTGACAGACTGAGACCTAAAATGGTAGAAGAAAGCAAAACACAGAACGGTGTTTCGGAAAAAGATAAATCTCGGAAAAAGGCAAACATACCGTTCACAAGTCAAACATTCACAGCGATTATTGTTATCGCCGAAAAAGTTATCGCCATAATACGCTGTAATTTCTTCTCCTTGAGCAATGTCACGCAATACCTGAAATTAAGCACAATTATGATTTATTTTATATTTTTTTGGTAATCGATAAAAAAATACTGATATAATTCCATTGATTAAAACTAAATAATACCTGTACAACTGCAGCATAGCTATTTGGAACAAATTTACAAGTGGGATAACAGTCGTGGTTAATATAAGCAGCAGGACCAAGCCATAATTGAGCACGTTGTTTCCTAAAATTATTATATACAATAAAATTATGATAATCGAACAGATTAGCAATAAAATTTCATACCTCGTACTATACATAACAGAAAAATCATTAACATCTTTTCGCAATAGTTGAGATTCTTCTTCGTGACTGAGATCACCAATGACACCTACTAAGCTGCCAATTACCTCACCTTTTTGCCTGAAATGATTAAAATAAAGATGGCTTCTTAAACTGTTGCGTTACGTACGATAATGAAAACTTATACATAGAATTGGAAAAAAAACAACTGTATGATTCTTTTGCATAAATTAAAATTAATATAGGATGTCGGAATACTATCATTTTGGAGGTTACATGATAGATTTACAATGAGATTTAATTAATTTCAACAAAAGTACATGTACCATGACTTCGTGGCGACCAGCATTCCACCAAGTCGATTTTCCGTTTTATAGCGATGGCATGCTTGAACTGTAAAGCCTGAATCATTGGAGAACATTTGCATAAACCGCAAAAGCTGAAAATGAGAGAAATAACACAACTTTCTATGCAATGATAGATGAAATGGAGCAGTCAAAAGGTGAGACTTACATGATCTCGGAAAGCAAACTGCTGCTTTAGTGTTCGTCGTTTCAAGAATCTGGTTACTATATTCACATGGAAAATTTCCCAAATCGCTGTGCACAAATCCTGATCTTCCTTGTATTTCCTTAATATGTTTTTCAGTTTGATTTGCTCCTCATGTTGTGGTGGACGGTAACTGTAATATGCATTGTAAGTAAATATGAAATACAAATAATTAACTAGTTGATTTACTAATAACACACTCTGATTTGTTAGCTGATAAAATTAATCTGAAGAGAAAATGCATTGCGTGCTTTTTTTTGTGCGATTTATACTTGATCATATTTAGTTATGTAAAATCTAGTATTTCAATGGCTTAGTAATGACAATCTTATCAAACATTTCGATAACTTAATCTAACATTTCAGTGATCATTGAATTATCTTGAAGCGATAATCATACTCACTGAAGATTCATTTTATGTGTACGAAAACCGAGAACCGGATCAACGATAACACTGGTTGCCATATCATCGTTATCACAAAGTTCTCGTATTGTCATGCTATGTTGGCCCGACGAACGTTCCGGTAACCGGAACAATTCCGGATTCAAATTCATAATGAACGTAGTACGTCCAAATCACAACACAGGCATGTCGCCCATGAGAAAACCAGACAGACACTGGACTGAAGAAGCTCTCTCATAACGTTAAGCAGAACCTGCAAATTGTCGTTGAAAGAGCACTAGCAGCCTAACAGCTTCATATCATCGATTTGATTTGTTGATTGGCTTTTATAATTATTGCTCGAGAAACAGTTTGCACATCAGGTTTCGAAACAAAACTCAGAGAAGTAATCAGGGATAAGATAAATACAAGTAATTAATTAAGCGATTTATTGATAATACACTTTAATGCAATGTATTATTACATCTAGAATAATACTGTCGTGGGCGTAATACTATGTGTGATTGTTATTAATTATATTTATTATTCATTATTGTTATTAATTACTGTTGCAAATGTTAACTTACAATGAATAATTACTAATGAAATTATTTTTTTAAAAAGGATGAAATACACAAATATTTACTGATATATGCTCTGTCCTGCTAGCATGTTATATTCTTCTTCGCACTTTAAGGAACAACTTACATTATCAGCCATATGATCATTTAATGTAGAAGACAAAATTTTTTTGATGAAAGAAAAAGTTTTTTTCTTCGTATAGATTTTTCAGACAAATAAAATTAATTTTTAAGCTGGATAAATTTTGAAAAAAGAAAGACCTTTTTCTGGCTCTCTAATGTTAACTAACATTAAATGAAAATCATAAATAATTTGTCGATAAACATGTCAAATATCATTTTAGCAATAAATTCATTACAATGAAATATGCTATCATCATAGAAATAAGTTAATCCGATCAATTATTCCAAATATTTATCCATAATCTTTAATAGATTGTTTAATTATTCATTTCCACTATATTTTTTGGAACATATTCATATATTTGTTATTGTTCCTGTTCTGTTTATCTGTTTTTTATTGATTGATTGATTGGAAAAAAAGAACGCTTGATTTAATTGATTCAAGTTACATTTTATGTATGACTTTTGGAAGCAAAATTAGAAAATAAGTGGTATTCATGAAAGAAATGTATTCATTATGATTTCGTGAGTTCATTTTTTTAATTCTTTTAATCAATTTAACTAAGTACCAATTTTTTCTTTTTTTTTTTTGAAATATGCTACTATGCAGAATCTGGTATATCTTAAGTTTTTGATACGATGAATTTACTTTCTAAGATTGTTTAAATGTCAGTTGTGATTTTGGATATTACTGATATGGTATGGCACACTACAATTTACCATTTCAATGCATATATTTATTATTTTTTCATTATTTTTCTTTCCATTGTTCATATTCGTTATTTTATATTTTATAAACAAAAAACTTATCAAGTAGTTATAAATATTTTATAGATATTTGAATGTTACATTAGGATATTAAAATTTTAAAAATATATTCTAGATTAAGATGGTAGAGTTTAGTTTAAGCTATGACATTTTTTAAATTAAACTATAGATTAGAGATTCTTCTTACATGCAAACATATTGATAAGATGAAATTTAGCTATTACTCCTTTAATCTGATATGTCCCATCAACTCGACTGGTTCTCGTTGCTGTTTCCAGCGTTCCTAATCGCAACGTTCGTAGAAGAAACCATTTAAACCATTTAAACTGGTTATTGCACCGAAATTAAGAAATGTTTCGTTGGCAGTGCTATCGCAATTATCGCAAAATTTGCAAACTCTGATGACTAGTATTTACACCGATCACGAATGCGATCATTCGATCATCCCATCAACAACCACGATTCGTCGCCATTCACCGCAGTTGCGGACCATAACCGTG